CTATTCCATCAAATCCATGTGGTAGAATAGCAGTCGAGGCTCAGTTTGCACATTTGAACGAACATCTTCCCAGTTGAACACAGACCAATGAGGAGACAAGCGGTTGCTTTACAACTACGAGGGTAGAACTTACCAAACAGTCATGCGCTAGTGACACCGAGAAGTGACGTACCATGACGAAGGATCATTGCGAGTCCTTAACGTAACAGCTACGCAATGAAAAGGTTGTAATACTGAGACAAGATATGGGATTAGGTGTCGTCATAATGCAGAAACAGGGCTACATCCAGAAAATGCAAAAATTTCTCGCAGACTAGTTGATTCGTTCTTGATGTGACAGACAACGATAAAACCGAACAGGTTATGAAATCAAACGTTCGTGAACTAAAGACCCTAACGACGGTGGGATGGAATCACGCAAAAACTTTGACACAGCCGGTCACTCGAGCATCTCGGCTTCCTTATTTGTAAGGACTGCCGAAAATCCACAAGGAAGGCATCCCCTTACCACCAATTGTTTCAATGGTAGGCGCACCGTATCAGAAGTTGGCCGAATGCCTGACCAATGTAATCCAGCCTATCCTAAGGGAACTAGCCGACTACAGCGTTAAAGACAGTTTTGTGGATAGAATACATGCTACCGCAAGTACAGTGGCCGTACTGACAATAGGCTGTCAGCGAGAATCGCACAGCACATCCCTAACATGGTTGCAAAGGGTCCCAAGCTACTTACCAGTTCGGTTGCCCGCCACATACTTGATTGCTCCGCGTGCCAAAACCCTGGTGGATCGTTCAGCGTAATTAGCTAACGAAGAGATTCCATACCATTTCCCACCTATGTTCTTGAATTGTTAAATTAAATTCGTTTGATCACGAAGCGAAATCGTTTGTTACCCTATCAACTTCGTGGCGTTGGCATCAGCCGTGATTGCGCACATTGTTCTAATGCAGGTAGCGAATCACAGCTATCTCTTACGCAGTGTTTTCATTCATAAGCTGGGAAACAGGTCCCATACCTTAATTTGACTCAATATATATATGGGTACGTATCGAAAATGTTGTTCCTATGATAAGATGCCCTACGTTTCTTCAATTTGTTTTCGGCCTTTTTCAGTTGTGTATGTTTGTCGCATTGCCTATAGGTGCGGCTCCTTACCACAGGTACCAGTACATCAGTACATGCAGCAATGTTGTTGACAAACTCACCGGCAGCCATAGTTGCGTTACTGGTTCAGAACGCTGGCTCCCAATTCATAGTGCAGATACGTTCCTTAAATGCATTCCAGTCAATTCGGTGAATCTTATGGGTGGGTTGCAACTTTATACTGGAGTGGCGTAGTTCGTTAAATGTTCACGATACAAAACGCCGTGTTGTGATCGCAGCCCGGTAGTGAACTGTCGATGAGTGCACAAGTAAAATGGATCCTCATGGTGAATAGCGAATCTACGGTACTGGCATTTCCGTTGGGCTCTCTGACATATGTGATGCAGCCATTGAAGTGTATAGAGCACACCATTTCGTCTAGTCACTTTTAGACCCTAGGTCCAGGTAGTAACCATTTAACTTGTGGCGCATTAAAATATTCACAAATAAGTTTGGACTTATAGGTAGCTATTGAAACTGTGTAGATAGCATGCACTGGCTGCAAGGTTTCATGATGGGTTGCTCGGGGAAGTCGGTAGATATAATCGATTACAGGATGCTAACCAATTGTAACACGTTCCGCAATCTGACGTTTGGAACTTGCTGAAATGGTTTACGCATATCGAGATATATATTTACGACGCAACTGTCAGCATCATCAGCCATTGTTGTGGGTGTAAGAACGTTCATTTGGAAACTCGCATCTAACGAGGCCTGTAGAAAACCATGTTATGCCTAATTGGTTAGATATTCCGAGAAGAAGCCTATTATCTCGTTTTAACTATTCGCTGTTATTCCAGACAATTAGATTTTGATATAACAAGAAATAACCAGTATGTTGGTCTCTTGCGAAGGGTACTCGACAGTGTAGATTCCTCTTGTGGCACCTCCCGTATCCGAACGACTGCAGAGACTCTGATTGCTCAGTGGACGACACGGGGAGACCTCATAATGGTATACCAAATACTGCGTGATCGCAGTCATGTACGCGGACACTTATAACGGGGAGCACAAAGTAAGGTACCGTTACTTTACACAGTATCATGACATTTCAACACTCACGTTGGATCTGGGTCAAGCGCTTACATGTCCTGCAATTCGTATAGGCCTTTTAAAGGGAGACCGTGTCTTTCGCCCATGGGTTTGCAACATTGCCTGTTAGTGGCTCCAGCATTTGTAACCTTGTCAGGTTTCTGTGTTCCTCAACTGTTCCTCACCTCGATTTCCCGCTGACAATCGATGCTAACCACCAAGTGCTTTAAAGCAGTGTTTCAACTGCATCTCTTGACTACCTTATGTTTCATTCTGGCCTTGTACCACTTTATCACACCCCGTACTGATATGGGTTCAGTTCACACTGACTATGGGCACCGCAATCCTGTGCTTTGTTCTCATGCAGGTAGCGAATCACAAGTATCTCTTGCGCAGTGTTTTCATTCATATGATGGGAAACAGTTCCCGTACTTTACGGATCCTATCTGACCTTCCACATTCATCATAAGTGACGTTTGTTAAATAATGCACAATCGGCGACGTCCCGTTGCCTGGCCAACAATCACCCCATGCTCATTGCGATCAGGCCTGCATAATGCAGTGGTCAGGCCAGGTGTCAACGCGTCCTATTGCTCTATCATCGCCTCATGCTAAGTACGTCCATTCGGCCGTGCATGTGCTCCCCGGTCGCCATATGGAATTCGCATGCGTTGGTGCGACATAACTGTCCACAACCAACTGGACGAGGCAAGTTACGGACTTTGGTATCCGATGCCAACAACCTGCGTTATGCACAGGATACACTGATAAGTGTCGCGAAATCCTGTGCTATGTTACAAGGGTAGTGTGTGACTGACGTACTACGGAAACAATAAATTCCGCATCCTTGCTACTTGGAGATGTCTGCGTTTTTGGATGCGTCATCTCGTTACAACGAGATGGCACAGTAGCACGATCCCCAAAGTAGCAAGGATGAGGAATTTATTGTTTCCGCGTTACATCAGTCACACACTACCCTTGTAACGTAGCACAGGAATTCGCGACAATTATCAGCTTCTCCTATGTATAACGCAGGTTGTTGCCATCGGATACCAAAGTTCGTAATTTGCCTCGTCCAGTTGGTCGTAGACAGTTATGTCGCACCAATGCATGCGAATTCGCTATGGCGACCGGGGAGCACATGCACGGCGGAATGGACGTACTGAGCATGAAGCGATGATTGAGCGGTAGGACGCGTTGACGCCTGGCCTGACAACTGAAATATGCAGGCCTGACCGCAATGAGCAGGATGCATCGGCCACCGACACTGTCCCTGGTAGGAGCTGAAGCGTCCCACCTGCACCCCTATGACTTAGTGTGTCTGAGGTCCAATTGGCTGAAGGCGCCGGGCTATACACGCACACCTACACACGTGCACAAGTAAGTGGCACACGCACGGCTCAAAGTAATTGAGTAAAGACTCATCTTGTATGCCCCCTCAGCGCAACTCCTTTGCCGTTCAGATTAATTTTGTTGCCCAAGAGCACAACTTGGCTGAGGAATAGTATAGATTATCACAGATCGCTTTCTTCGTTGACAGAACGTTTTGCTTGCTAAGAAGGCGACCAGGAACTGTTGACACAGAGATCGATTTTGGGCTGATAAACAGGAACATAGCAGTAGACGGGTTCATTCAAATTCGAGCGTGCCAGTGTTAGAGCCAGCCACGTAACCAAAGAATACTTAGTGAAACCGAGCGAACCAAGTGTTTGCGCCCATAGGCATTAAGAGGCATAACTGTGACCCACATAAGTTGAAAGGTGGTCTTTCGCGAGGAAATAGTGCTAGAAATCAGCGATTGTAAGAGGCAACTCTCATACTAAAGGGAACAGAACAATAATAAAAGCAAAGGCAATTAATGGCGCGCACGCGCAGTTGTGGTCGAAAGTACGGTGAAGTGGATGGATGATAGTCATCATCAACATCAGCAGCAACAGCAGTACATCAGCCATTTGAACTGATGCTTCGCTGCCATACAACCATGATGACCTATGAAATAAAGAATAAGAAGAGGGAGAGAAAGGGGACTTACCTGAAAACCTTAATGCCCTAAGCAAACATTCAGCGTCAAGGCGCCTACACATTGTGTAGACAACATTCCGTCACAAACAGCTGGCTATCGTGCAAAGATAAGGCGGCATCGGCGAGACAGCTTCCTTGCGGCTTTCACTGCCACGCGTCATAATCAGCCATTACCCCGCAGATAACTCAGCACCAAACACACTTTAAACAGACAATCCAATTAGGAGACGGCAGCAGACGCGCCATTGGTGTCGGTTGCGAGCCATGTCCTGTAAAGTCTCGAGCCAAGTAGGTGAGTCAGGTGGACTCCAACCCGGAAGGCGAGACGGACCAACGCCACCCAGTTTGGTCGTCAGTGACTTCATTTCCCGCTGCCAAGTCAACTTCTGTCCACCTCGAGCCTTGCGCCATCCTACACCTGGTAGAGTGAACAAGGCCCTCCTAGCTAAGCGGTGACCAGGCATACGTAGCACGTGCCCGAGCCAACGCAACTTATTCAGTGCTATCTGTTGTTCTAGGGAGCTAGCAGGATTATCACCACCTAGTACTCGCCTACGCACATCATCGTTGCGGACACGCTGGTGCCATCCGACTCCAGCGATGCTTCGCAGACAACGATGACAGTGGCTCAACATAGGCTCAGCAAGCGCTCGAGAGCAGAAGTTGAAAACTCGGAGATGCGTCAAATGTAAGGTTTGTCTGCCAAACAGTCGTGTGTGCGGTGAAACAGGTCGCTCCCACAAGGGCATCGTAAGAACGAAACTGAAAGGATTGCATGGAGCAAAAGTAAAGAAGCATTTACCTCACTCATTTCACCCAAAAGCGATCCGGCCTCTTGGAATAAAAAATCTGCCTTCAGGCGCCGAGCAGGTCCATTGCACATGATGGCCTAAAACACACGGATCGTTGGTGAAGTGGTGAATATGAAGAATTACAACGAATAACAATTTAAAGCACTAAAGTGAGGTGTATAATACTTTGCGGGTACACAGAGAAAATGGACAAAACACCCGTTGTGTAAAAGTAGAACGCCTCGACAAAGAAACTTGACAAAACTAACTGTCTAGCTAACCATGCCTTGAATCCAATAAAGTTATGAACACAGAATGCGGCCAAGAGGGATCAGTCTGATCTCAGTTGTTCCCAACAGACTTGCTCGTTGTTCTCCATAGACTTGCTGATGCTAATGAAAACCAGATGCGCTAGGAGCAGGCCGGGTTTAATTGAAATCGAGGCTGTATTGACCACATCTTCATATTACATCAGTTGTTGGAGCCTTTCTACTTATATTAGTGACCGACCGTGGTCGTTCTTCTCCACAAGCGACTGCGCAGGAAAGGTGTGTCCGAGAAAGACGTGACATTTTCAGGTCGCTTTACGCGCGTAGGTCGGAAGTAGTGAGAGTTAACGGCAAACTGTCGCCACTCTTCACAAGCACGACGCAGAAGGTGTGGAGATGCTCTCAGGCGAACGACTTCTTGATTTGAAGTCCGTTGACGACATTGCCCTCATCTCTGACAGCTCACAAACGTGCTAAGAAGCACTGGGTAAATTGGCTCTGGCTGCCAATGGTTTCGAGCTATGATTTGCACCCTCGAAATGTAAAGTCCTTCTCCAATATTAATAGGGATCCACTCCTGCAATAACCATTGGCAGTGATCAGCTACAAGTCGTCAAGAAATCTAAGTATATGAGTAGCAATATTAGCGCCCGTGAGATTGAAGATGAGAGCAGGAACCGTATAGCAAAAACTCGTGGTGCGTTTGCCAATCGCCGCTATCTGTGGCGCCGACGCGACATCACTCTCATCCTGGAGGGTAGTGTTTACAATGGAGCCCCCCCGTTTAACTCAACTGTACGACTGTGAAACCTGGCAATGGAATTGGCAGACGTAAAGGAGCTAGATACGACCGATCATCGCTGCCTTCGCAGGTTAGTTCATGTCAGATGGGAACACCGCGTGAGCACTGAATGTGTTCAGTGCAGAAACAGCACCGTTATTTAACGTGTCAGGCTCCGATGGCTGGGCCAAGTGTTGCGGATTCCAGAACACCGACTCTTGCGACGTGCGCTGTTTGCGCGCCCGGGGTGTGAGTGAAAAAAGTGAAGAACCGACCCCAATGGCATTTATGCTGTGAGTTCCTTTGTCCTTCCTCCCCTCGCTTATCTTCCCTCTCTATGCACGATCCCACTTCCGAAGCATAGTTTGGTGCTAAGTATTAGCTTGCTTTTTGGTTTTCATTTTGGGCTCTATAATGCCCTTTATCCTGCTTTTTATCGTGTACCTTATATTTTTGTATTGCGGCACCTTCACGTAGTGTGTAGTGATGTTGACGATGATGAATGATGGGCACCACTTACGTGAAGTATCGCAATACAGGACAATGCGCACCAGATTTGGACGATAATTGTGCACTGTCCGATGACATGTGTAGGCAAATTGCAGGATTGCTAACGATTCCATTCTGGATGGGGCAGTATTGTGGATACAAGCCACGCAAGTAGGTTACGATGTACGTAACGCTACGGAAATTAAACTAAAAATGATTCTAATGCAGTTCGGTGGGCATCCAAAGCATCTTGAAACTGGGTTGACTGACTAACTTTCTACGCTTCATATCATCATGTGGTGGATTGCTAGAGCGGCTCGAATTTTTCCTAAATGTGAACTAAGTTCAGCGTCCACACACACGACACTGCCAATGCAGCTGCAAAGATAGGTGGACCAAGAAATCCTGTGAGGGTTCCTCGTCGTAGGAAAGCAAACAGCCAACGAGCGGTTGGTGGCATTGCAACAGCAATTCGCACCTGGAAGATGGAAAGCGCATACGAAATGATTTAACCACTCTAGAGACTGTTAAGAATCCATGTCGCGTAGGGATTACAGATAACAGCTGAATTCCAAAGGATTGGGCCTCACTACCTACCTGATGTAGGGAGGACGTAGAAAAGTTGCCAATAGTATGTGGGTAGTTCCTATTGAGGTTTCGATGTCCCACGACCAACACGGGTGAGGATGCTGTGGTGCCAATAAGAACTATACAGTATCGAACCGGGGACCTGTGAATTACATGTCAGACGCCATACGCACCCGGCCGTGATGTAGTCAACGATAAAATCGAACAGACAAATAGAACGAGACTGAAAAGCAGTCTGATAATTGGACGTAGAACATGATGAGGTCACAGGTACTCAAATATGGGGAATGTAAAACGCTTACATTCTGCATAGCAACGCCTCCTGGTCGAGTGCAACGAACGAAACGAAACGGTCGATTGAGTCGGGGCGTTCTTGGAACTGAGGGACACGGCTTTGATCGGTCGGTGTATGTGTTAGTGCGTTCAGGCAAACAGGGGTCGATATGCTTATTGCAGACGCGTTGAGTATAACTCCTTTTCCAGCAGTCCTAGTTAGGACTGTTAAGTCACAGTTGCAACCAGAACAGACTCAAGTAACCCGATGACATCAAATCCGACTGCCAAGGCGGTGCACGGAAACTGACACCTGGGAAGAAGCACCCACAGAAGTGAACTGTGGCAGCTTGGTATGGACGAAGGTAGCTCACTGCGACTGATTCAATGGAGTTAAGCGCATCTGAATAAGGCCCGATGAACAGCTTAGCAAAGCTTTGTCCACCAGGATCTGTGTGGAAGTGCCACTGACTAGGTTAAGCGAGTGTAAAAGTGAGCACAAGTGAGAAGCGTGTCGATAAACAATGGTAGTACGGATCAAACTTACTGTGTACTCTGGTCCATACGTCAGGACTGCATGCCCGGTCAGGGTTGCGATGGTTATCAAGTGAGGATTGTGTACTTGCAAAGCCTGCAACCGAATGTGCATATGTGAAATATAGATGGGTTGACCAAGGTGACGAAAAATGTGAAGCGCGTTCCTATGAGAAATGTGTTGAAGTTCGCGGCACTTTCATGCGATGTGCGCCGTTAGCACCAAAAAATCTATACGAGCATAAAATCTAAAGCAGAAGACTGGTGCTTCAAAAGCAAAAGAACATAAAAGCTGGAATGTGATCAAACGAAAATGGTGTGGACACTAGCGCTTAATCAATGGGTCCGGATTGCCGGTACATACAATATCAGTACAGCGCGCCTTTTGGAGACAAGCGACTAGCAATGAGCTTGTGCTGAGGCCTAAAAGCCGGTAGGTCGGTTCTGAAATTGTTTAAATGGTTGATTTCAAGAAACGGTAAGGAAAAACGGCGGTTCATAATGATCAGTCTGAAGCGGGCCAATAGTTATCCAGTGGAGAAAACTAGAAGAAAAACGGAAAATTAACAAGACAGCAATGGGCACAGCCAGGATGACTTAGAGCACGGATGTGTCAATGTTTGTCGATTAGATGGAACCCACTTGTAAAGCGAAGTGTTCTGCGCGGATGATCTCACTTCATCATTGCGGAACGAGGTGACTGATTCACTGATTGCGGGGCTTATCGCACTTACTGAGTATAGGTGGCGCATATAGAATTGTACTTAGGCTCGCAATCAAACGACCTATCAGAAAGGTAATTCCTGATTTAAAGGCCACTTTTTTGATACTGTTGATCGCATCTATTTGTGGCGATGTTTGCCGTTGAAGGGCATAGTGGAGGAAGTGTCTTCTATGTTAAATCCCCATACCAGGACTACGGTAGCCGCGTAACAGTCCGCATGAAACTTCCCACGTAAAGCGGAGAGTCAGGGCAGCTTTATCACTCCATTTCTCTTCCACATTGTGATCAAGACGATCTTAGCAGGTTCTCTTCTTGGACAGTGCCCTCCGTGAACCAAGGATAGAACAAAGCATACGTACAGTGCCGTCCTCATTCGGTCAAAAGCAGCCGCAAGGCATGCGCCAGTGAACAGGTTGAGAAGTAGTGCAGCATGCTTTGGTGTGTGGCTTCACTCTCGTAATGAAGTTACCGTTACTGGACTGGGTCGACCCATATTCAATGCATACTTTCATCGAACAAACAATCAAGTGATCAATCGATTTATTTACCTGGGTAGTAGCATCACCCCTGCTGGTGAACAAACGAAATGGGTTACGGCATGTGTTGCTAAGGTTCGTATTACTTATCAAAAGCTGTTACATCTGGAGACGGCGTGGTGTGGGCTTACTTGCCAAGGTAAGGACTTATAACGAAGTGGTGCAACCGGTTTAACTCCACAGATCGGGTACCCAGCCGCGGCACGCTGATAAAGCTAAGCGACTGTGCGTGTTTGATTACCCATGCTAGCGAAGTGCCATTGTACTCCGGGGAGATCCGAAAGAGTAGCATTATATATATTATATATATATTAGCATAAATATTTTATTTATATTTGTTTATATATATACTTATATATATTAGTAGCATATATATAGATACAGATTTACAAATAAATTAGGTTTCTTTTAAGCTGGAAAAATTTCATTCCACTTTATTTGGTTTGTTCTATTAAGCTGAATAATCGTACATTAACAGGCCACGTTGATTACGCTAATTGTGGTTATCTTCGTTAAATTTACTGCGTTTGTAGCATTTTTGAGCAACTGCTGGACATTTTGCACTTATCGCGGATTCGTTGCTAACCAACTTACTTCATACGATAAGTTAGCGAAGAGTTATATCGGCATAGAAGCATGATTTAACAAATATATATGTGATAATAATTTCATTTCAAGTGGTTGGTTGTTGTTTGACATCCCCGGTGTGGCTGCGCTTGATGTGCATGTTGACACGGTACCTACCTGTCTATTACCCGCTACCTCGTCCATACTGGCTCCAGGAGACAGTTGGTCATTACTAGGGTGGGGGGGCACGGTCCTTGTGGTCATGCTAGGCTCAAACAGTGGTTCCATATACTCAGTATGGAGCAGATCACGGTCCAGCCACCGTCTTGTGTGCATCTGAATCCCCAAATACAGCGTGCTTGTGTTTGCCTGTGTAGGAGTGTGTGCCGGCTCCGTTGATGAAACGTGGCTCCCATCCACATCCCTTCCGGTCTTATTCCTTCGGGTTTACACTGGATATGGGGTGTGTGGTGGGAGACGTGGGTGGTGCAGCGCAAGCCACCCGTGGTCCCTCTGTAGGCGCAGGCGTCCTATGGCTGGCTACAGTGACAGCCAAATCCGAAACCGGATGCCGCCAACCATGTATGTATGTGTGCTTCTTGCTGAGACTGATGTTGCAATCATGATGCTTCTTCGCCGGAGTTGGGCTAAACCAACTTACACTTAAACTAGGTCATTTTAAGCCGGATAAATTTCATACCAATTTATTTGGTTTGTTCTGCCTACCTGAATAATTTTCGACTAACTTGCACAGGTTGCTTGCGCTAATTGCGCTTATCTTCAACAAATATATCGTGGGTGGTGCAGTGCAAGGCACTCGTGGTCCCTCTGTAGGCCCAGGGGTCCTGTGGCTGGCTACAGTGACAGGCAATTTTGAGACCATCATCATCATCATGATACGTTAGCTAGAGGTGGAAAAAACCTCAACTACTGTGCCGCAATATATAAAAAAAGGGAAAATGAAACAGGAGGAAGCCAGCTGAGCTACCGGTCACGGATGGGCATCGCTCCGGTAAGCTACCAGTCGATTACTATGTAGAAAAAATTACTATACAGAATTATATAAGGTTAAATAGTGAGGTCGTGGTTAGAGGGGGAGGCTAACATGGATGGGACAAAGAAACTCACAGCACGAACGCCACTGATGTCGGCTCCTAGCCATATCAGCAAGTGTGTCCAACCAAACGTGTTCATCGTCTTTCGGACCCCAACCAGGGAGCCGAGACGCTCCAACCGAGGCCAACTCCGAAGTGAGGGCCTTCATCATCATGTCATCGCTTGGCCACCCCTCCTCTTCTTCCATCCACACCCTCAGTGAGCAAACAACGCACGTCGCAGGAGTCGGTGGGCTGACATGCGTAACACGTGGCCCAGCCATCGGAGTCTGGTGCGTGAAATAACGGTGCTGAGCGGTTCAGTTCCTTTTCCTGTACCATTAACAAAGCGTCGAACACGCTCGTTGCTCACGCGGTGTTCCCACCAGATGTGAGCTAAATTGCGAAGGCACCGGTGGTCAAACGTAACTAGCCTTTTCAGGTCCGCCGCTTTAAGCGGCCAGGTTTCACAACCGTACAGTAGGGTCGAACGTACCGCTGCATTGTATACTCTACCCTTCAAGGCGAGAGTGATCTCGCGCCGGCGTCATAAGTGGCGAAGATTAGCAAAAGCGCCTCGAGCTTTTGCTATAGGGGTTCATGATCTCATCTTCAATCTGACGCGCGCTGATACAACTTCCCAGGTAGTTGAATTTTTGTAGGACTTCTAGCTGATCCCCACCAAGGGTCAGCGTAGGAGGCGGTCCAGGCCAACTTTGGAGGAACGCTTTGCACTTCAAAGGCGCGAAGCAAAGCCCGAAGTGACGGACAGCTAGTGTTAATCTGTCCAGCGCGGCTTGGCACGTTTGTTGGCTGTCATAGATTAGGGCAATATCATCAGCACACTCTAAGTCAAGAAGTCGTTCTCCTGGGAGCAGATCCACAACTTCTAAGTCGTGTCCTGCGAACGCGATTCCCATTTCTTCGTTTATAGCGAAGTTGAAGAGAAAAGTTGATAGTGGGCATCTTCGTCTCACACCGCTGGAGATATTGAAGGACGCCGACAGCTTGACGTAAGCCCTCACTCTGCCCGAGCTACGCGCATATAATGCTCGGATAATATTCACATATTTCTCAGATACATCTTTCCTGAGTAGACAGTCCCAAAGTGCAAGCCTATCCACCGAATCGCATGCATCTTTGATATCGAGGAACACGACAACGGTGGGCCACCAATATAATCGGCGGTGCTTCAACAACTGAGACAAAGTGAAGACCTGGTCAATGCAGCCACGACCTAGACGAAATCCGGCTTGCCCTTCACGAATATGGCTTTCACGAGTGCCACTCAGTCTGTGAAGGATGACAGAGGCAAGCAATTTGGAGGAGATGGAGATCAGACTGATTCCCCTATGGTTGCCGCATTCCGATCGTGAGCCTCCTTTGAAAATTGGGACTATGACGGAGCAGCTCCAGTCGGTTGAGACAGTTTCCTGCTCCCACAGTTTCACTACTAACTCTTATAAATCATCCACAAGAGCAGGTCACTAGAATGTGAAGAAAGCTGGTGGAAGATCATCTGGTCCCGCGGCTTTATTTAGCTTCAACAGTCCGATCTTACGTTCGACTTCTGAGCGAGAGGGTGGATCCAATCGGACAGCACACGGGGCGGGGCGATTAGTGGCTGGCGAGTAATTTAACAATTCCGACCAATTAAATTGCCTTTCAAAGTGCTCAGCCCAACGCACCAAGCGCTTTGACAAGTTGTGGATAGGCTATCCACTCTCGTCACGTATGGTTTTACTAACACCTGGTCTCCTGCTGCTCGTTTCCAGTAGCAGACGGAATAACTTACGATGGTTACCAAGGACAGCGGTCACCTCCATCTCTGAAGCACGGTGAGACCACCAGGATTCGCGGTCTCTCTTAAGGCTAGCACGGAGTTTTGCCCGGAGCTCTTTGTGAGTTTCATTGTGTTCGCTTCCAGCCGGATTATGCCGGCGAGCATGGAAAAGTTCCAGAAACTGCGAAGAGACCCAATGTCCATGTTGGCTATTAGACTCACCACATGAGGATTTGCCTGTTGCTAGTAAGGTCTGGTGAACAGGTGACCAGTGACCTTCAATTGGATCTAGTGAGCGCTTACTCAACTCGCATATCAGCGTATTTTGATAGGCATTCAGAACAGATGGCTAGTGTCAATGCGCTCACAACGTCGTCATGGGCGTCCGCCAAA